GGCACCCCAGGAGGGAGCTGGCTGTCAGCAGTGGGAGAGGCAGATAGATTGAGAAGCACCTAGAATTCAGAGCCAAGCAAGAGGGAGCCACCAAAGATTTTTGAGCAAGGAAGTGATGGGATAAAATCAGATTTTAGATAGAGAACTCAGGAAGTAGGTAGGGTGGGGGGAGGGGGCTGGTCAGGTTGGGGGCGGGGTGTCAGTTAGTCCCCACGTTGGGTTGGATGAAGGTCAGGATTAGCTGAAAGAGGCTACCGTTGTCCAGGATTTGAGTTTTTTGTTTTGTTTTGTTTTGTTTTTGTTTTTTTTTCTCCTTTATTGATTTCAGAGACAGAGGAAGGGAGCGAGAGATGGAAACATTGATGAGAGAGAACACTGATTGGCCGCCTCCTACATGCCCCCACTGGGGATCGGGCCCACAACCTGGGCATGTGTCCTGACCGGGGATCAAACCAGCGATCTCTTGGTGCACAGGTTGATGCTCAACCACACCTGCCAGGTGAGGATCTGAGTTTTAAGGGCCAGAGTGAGAGTGGCTGTGGGACAGGGTCGCAACTGGATATCTGGGAAGGAATAGCTTGCAGGTGACTCAGAGGCCCCGCATGAGGGATCCACATGGCACCCTCAAATAGGCAAGAGGCGTCAGGATCAGAGTGGGGGATCAGAGAGAGTGTGGGGCTCGGGTGAGAGCTGTAAAACCCTCAAGAGATGCCGCCCGTTACTGTGGCTGATATCAGTAAAGTGTGTCTTTGATTTGCGGGCGTTGAAAGCAGACAGCACTGTTAAGTGTCAGGCTGGGCTGACCCTGTAGACTTCTTGTCTGATCCGGCAGAGGGGTCGGGGAGCAGAGCACCTGGAGGCCTGGCAGAAGGGTCAATTCACCACATCAGCGATCCTTCCAGGAAGAGATAAAGGACATAAATGGTACTGGGTGGGTTTATATGCTTAAAACCTGCAGAAGCCTTGGCATACTCCTGCTCTGAGGTTTAGAAGAGGAATTGATTGGAGCTTTTCTCTGGAAAACAATAGAAAATGAGAACATCCTGGGAGGAAAGCAGGGCGACACCAGAGGCATGTGGAGAGTGAGGAAGGGTCTACCTCTGGGTGGACCCGGAGCGAGCGGCTGGTGACCAAAGGCACCATTTCTCCCGAGAGTGGTTCTGGTGATACACGTGTCGCTCTCAATCACAAAGGTCCATTTTGACCACCAGAATCCCAAATGTAGTGGAGTTTTTTCCCCACAAAGAAAACCAGGTTGGCAGTTGAGAGAGGATCCGTGCTGCAGGTGAGTTCCAGGTTTCAGTCTGACTCCTCAGAGTGTGGGGTCCCCACTGGGCCTCTGCACCCTGGGCGTGTCCCTGCTGTCCCCTCGGCTGCCTGTTCAAGGGGCATTTGTCCTTCATACACATTCCCTGGAGGTGCAGAGTCAATATGGCTACAGTTGGAGCCCTCCTGCCTCCTGAAGGCAGCCTTCTCTAAACACCCCCACCTTCGAGAATCTGCTTTCTCCAAACTCCAACTGTACTGGGCAGTGCAGGGAGCACGTGTCCCTGGAAGTCTGGGATAGTCCGAGTTCCAAAACCCCTGCCCGCACTGTCCCCACTTGCTTCTGCCAGGACAGGCGGTGTTCCCCGCTACACAGATGAGGTGGGAGGCCTGGTGTCCCTCCCCATCCAGACGGTGGTCTCTGGGCAGATGCCCCCCCCCTTCCCCCGCACAGGCTCCAGGGTCAGGGACCTGAGACAAGACTCAGCCACCCTGACTTCAAGTGCGGCATCTCCAGGACGGAGCTCCGCCCCCTGCCCCCACGTACTGTGAGGGTTACATGTGAGGATGTGTTGAACGGGACCTGGCTCTACGACCCTGGACAAGTCAGTCCCCACCACTAGGCCCGATTACGCGCACCGGTCCCTGAGTGCGAGGAGCCAGCACAGAAGGCCGATGCCCGCGAGCTGGCCGCAGCCCCAGGGGCAGGCACACAGCGGTGGGGCTCTGCTGGCACACGCTTGGGCTCCGGTTCCAGTAAACCCCAGCTGAAGGTGAGTCAGGTGCATATTCTCCAGGGCTCCGAGCTAGCTGGGTGGCGGAGGCTGGCTGCGAGCCCCCAGACCCTGGACGCGCACAGTGGCCGTGGGGAGGGGCTCCCTGGAAGTCACCTGAAACTCCCTGCAGGTAGAGACCGCCAGCCCCACGGAAAGGGCTGAGGGGCTGGCTTTAGTTTCTATGTGTAAGGAGAAGGGCAAAGTCCAGCACATGCTGTGGGATGAAGACAGCAAGTTGTGATGCGTGATTCTCTTCACGTAAAATTCCCCTGCGTCCACAGATACACACGCACAGAGGCCAGCCCGTAACCGTAGTCACCAAACCAGCGTCCCCCATGGTCTTGCCACATCCGATTGAACCTCGCCACAAGTATTTAAATAGACTCCTCTTTTACTGAAAAAATTCGACCTTACCTGTGTCCCAAGTAAAAGTATCTATAAAATCATGGCTTTGATGTGATAATTATATTTTTTCTAATATACATTCAATTAAATCTATTTGCTGTTCAAATAAACTGTTCACCTGTGTGTCACCTAAAATCATGTTTCAGTGGCAAAGTCATTAAGTCCTTCATCTCCAGAGGCTGCCTGCCTGCATCTGAACTGCAGCTCTACCATTTGACCCCTGGCCGCGTATTACTCGGGACGTTCTTGACCTCTGTGAGCGCACCACCTCTCCTCACACAGGGATAATAACCTTGAGGCTACGGTGAACCTGGCCCTCTTCTGCAGGCTCGACTTCCCGACCTGCAGGATGGCCCAGCAGGGCCCACTCCTGGCGGGGTCTTCGGTGACGGCTGATGTGGGCTTGTTGGCGGCGACAACACATGCTGATCCCTTCGCTCCGAGCAGGAGCCCAGACCAGGAGAGGAGCAGAGGTGGTGGCCCGAGGGAGAGGGCTGGCGTTCCTCACCACCAGTCCTTCTATGACTGTCTCACTCTGGGCTCCAGTGACTGGGGAAGAACCACAGGAGAGGCCACTGACCCTGAGCAGCAAGATAAGAGACCCAGCCCCAAGGCAGCTGAGGCACCCAGGTAAGGAGAGGTTGGGACAGCCCAGGGTAGCAGAATGGATCCTTGGGACTCCCCCAACCTTCCGCGGGAGGCAGGGGGCGCTCTGGGCACAAGTCCTGGGGGAGCGCACTGGCCAGGGAGAGCTGATCTGATTCCAGAAGGCTCTGCTTTCACCTTGTTCCCCCGAGTCTCTGGGGGAGATCTGGATTCAGCTGAATTAAGAAGCAGGTGATGATCACAGGTCTTGGGTGCTTGGGCAGGAGTCTCCATGGTAACAGAGCCCTCTGGCCGTGTGCCTGACACCAGGTCTTGTGACTTCACGCAGGAATCTTCTCTGATAGGTGGGGGTTTGCCCTCGGTGAGAGGAGCCCAGGAGGGTGGGATGGACAGAGGGAGGCCTGGTTGTCTCAGCCGGAGTTAGAAGAGTGGGCTTGCTCACGTCACCTCGGGGCTACTGCTGACTGCAGACCGGATGCTGGAGCATGTCCCAGGGACAGTCTGAGCGGCACTGAGCACAGTGGGAGGGGGTGGAGGGGCATCGGCCTCCTTCCTTTCAGGACTTGCTGGTGAAGTGAAGCTCGGGCCCAGGCCACTGGCTACCATAGACAGGGACAGCCCTGGCCCAGCACCACCAGATGGCAGAAAGGGCCAGGGGACCGCAGTCACGGCGGTGGGCCTCTCCCCACACGCTGTTCATCAGGTAGGGCTGGGCGAGCCCCGCCATCCTCTCCTTGTGCAGAATCCCTTGGTCCACACCGTCAGCCAGCCAACCTGAATGAGCTAGTGTCCTAGGGCTGCTATGGGTCACAACTGAGGGTGGTTTAGCACAGATTTATTCTCATACAGATCAAGGTGTGGGCAGGCTTCCTTCTTGGGAGCTCAGAGGGAGGCCCTGAGGTGGGGGCTGGCAGTCCTTGGAGGTTTTTGGCTTGTGGCAGCATCATTCTTTTTTTTTATCCTCACCCGAGGACATTTTCCATTTTTTTAATCAGATAGAGCAGGAGGGAGAGAGAGAAAGAGAGAGAGAGAAACATCGATGTGAAAGGGACACATTGAGTGACTGCCACCCACACGACCAACCAGGGCTGGGGACAAACTGCAACTGAAGTACAGGCCCCTAGCGGGAACCAAACCCAGGTCTCTCTGGACCGCAGGCCAACGCTCTAACTGCTGAGCCAAACTGGCCAGGGCTGTGGCCGTGTCATTCTAATCTCTGCCTCCATTGTCACATAACACTGTCCCTGTGTCTGTGTCCAGCTACACATGGAAGCAAAGGGAATGAGTGACCTTGAGCCAAGACCTGAAGGAGTTGTCATAAAAAAAAAAAAAAAAGAGGGAAGAGATTTCAGGGAGGAGCACGAGCATGTGCAAAGGCCCTGTGGCAGGAGTCTGCTTGGCAAGTGGAAGGATTGAAGGAAAGTCTGTACAGCCAGACTGAAGAGAGTGAAGGGAATAGGAGATGGGCTGAGAGTCTGCAGATTAGACCACTCTTGTCTTGGAAACTATCGATTGAGTGCCTGTGATGAGCCAGGAGCACCAGACAAGGCCACTGCATGCACAAAGTGGGAAGACCACAGACCAAGAGCATTTCAGTGTGGGAGAGGTGAAGGGCCAAGTGATCTGGAGTCACAAGGGCGGAATGAGGAACTGGGAAGGCAGATTGGGCACAGGCGTTGAAGCAGGGCCAGCTTGGTGCTGACTGGGGACTGGTAAGGCCAGTGTGTACAGAGCGGAGGGAGCAGGGGAGAGGATGTAAGAGGAGGTTGCAGGTGCTGGCAGGCTCGTGGGTACCCTAACCCTGGCTGGGAACCACTGGCTGAGTTTTAACAGGAGAACACACTCAGGTTTGTACTTTGGAAAGACCCCACTGGCCTCCAGTGTAAGCAGGAATTGTGGGGAGGAAGCTGGAGTGGCTGGAGAAGTTGGGGTGCAGTAACAGATGGAATGCCTTCCTCTTCCCAGACGTCCCAGAAGAGCCGTGAAGATGAGCCCAGAGTCTCGTCCTCTCAGAGCTTCCTGGAGGAGGAGGACCCGGGGCCCCAGGCCCAGCAACCTCAGGCTACCAGTTCAGGAGGCAGCGGACCCCTCAGCGACCGTGACCTCTCCCACGGGTCCCTGGTGAAGCTGGAGTACCTGCCCTTCTTCCGCACCTATGGGCGGCTCCTGACTGAGGAGCTGACCCAGCAGCTAGAGGTTTGCAGGGACCGAGGAGGAGACTGGAGTATCAGGGAGGCGCCATTCTTGGAGGACTCAGAACCGCCCAATGGGTTCTTCCCTTACTGCCGCTCGGAGGAGGAGAATTTTCCCAGCCTTTCTTGTGGGGGCTCCCAAGACCCATCCACCAGGAGGGAGTTGTGGGCTGGCTGCTTCTGCAGGACGACAGTCAGCAGTGGGAGCTCTGTGAGTGGGCAAGGCCACGTGGAGAGGCCACAGGGAGCGTCGGAGCAGCCCTAGGTCCCTGGCCTCCTTCAGACCTCTGTCCCAGGGACCCAGACCCCAGCAGACTGGGCTAGTTCCCCACCCCCAGGGGTCTGCCGGGGCTCCTGGAGCAGAGTGTCCTGGGTTAAGAGCACAGGGACTGGAGGCAGACTGTGTCACTTCATAGGACCGTGGCCTGGGGAATATGTTTAAGCCTCGTGAGCCTCAGTTTCCTTATCAAAGGGAGATAATAGTAGTAGCCAGTCATAGAGCCACCATGAGAATTACACACAGTCATGAGACTATTGCACCAGGCGTGGCCTGGTGCTCCCCTGCAGAAACATCCGTGTAGTCCTTATGTCTTGCCAGGCACCCCAGGTCTTCACATGCATCTTTTATTTATCCTAATAACAGTCTGGTGAGATAATTCTGATTATTCCCATTTTATGGATGAGAAAAGTGAGTTTGAGATGCTAAGTGACTTGGCCAAGGGCACAATCACTAGCAAGAGCAAACCGAGACATGACCCAAAGCCCGTGCCGTGTTACTAACAGCCGCCTCCAGCACCAGGAAGTGTGTGTGTGTGTGTGTGTGTGTGTGTGTGTGTGTGTGTGGGATGAGTGGGTTCTAATCCCAGACACACCCGTTCAGCTGGGAGCCCTGGAGGGGTGAGTGATGCCCAGGGTATTTCCCAGTGTGTGGAACAGGCACAGACCCTGCCTCCTGCCACTGTGATACTGCAGGCAGGCTCAGCCCGAGTCTGGACTGAACCTGGAAACCTGGCTAACCATCTTGTCTCCTCTGGTCAGGCTACCTCTGCAGGCCCGGTCCTGGTCTCTGGGTCCTCACCGGCCTGCTGCTCCGTCCTGCCGGCCTCAGTAGGTTACTCCCACGATGGTGCTGGCCAGGGAACCTCTTTCTCCAGTGATGCTGCCTTCAGTGGCCACGCCCTGTGTGCCTCAGGATTCATGCCTTACTACAGAACCCCCGAGGAGGGGCTCCACACTAGCCCTGGGCCTCCTGTCTCTCCCGGGGGCCAGGAGCCCGCAGGGGAGCTGCCCAGGCCTGGTGCAGCCACACTGTGAGGGAGCAGAAACTGGCATCAGCAAGAACCACCTGAGTCCGGCCCCAGCACCTGCTGATCACTGAAGGTGAGAAGGAGGTTCCCAGAGCTCAGTTTGCCCTGAGCTGGGACTGAGCCTTTATTCCTCTGTCTCAGTGCCCACAACCCACAGAGCTGGCAGGAGGAGCCCAACCCCTGGCAGGCTCTCCTGTCCCGCAAGGAGACCCTGTGTGGGCCAGTAAGTGGCTCCCTGCTGGCGTCTGGCTCTGCAGGCCTAGGGTTTGCCTTTCTCCTCAAGAAGCAGAGGGAAGCAGCTCAGCCTGTGCCCCTGTTCAGCTGTACCCCCAGCAAGTGACCCCACCACCCTGGTGGCTCCCACCTGGCTCTCCGAGCTGGAAATCCTGCCCAGGGAGACACGGAGAGAGCAGCCCCCAGGGCTCCGCAGAGGGCATTCCTCCCGGTGCAGCACTCACGCCTTCCCACCGGTTGCTGGTTGCTGGGGCCTGTCCCAAGTCCAGACGGACGGAGCAGGGTCCACAGAGACCAGAGCCGGGTTTTGTAAATAAATCATTTCACTACAAGGGTTGCACTTGGTGCACTAATTTAATGTTTTGGAATAATGCTTGCAGCTTCCACTTACTGGGCATTTACTATGTACCAGGTGCCTTACACAGACCATCTCCATAATCCTAAGGGTAGACCCTGGTGTCACCTCCATTCTACAGATGAAGAAACAGGCTCAGAGAGGTTAGGTAGTGTGCCTGACCTCACACAGTGAGCTGGGATCTGTCCCAGGTCAGTCTGGTCTCGGGCTTGACTGCTTAGGGGCTTCCCCTACACCCCTCTCAGCTGTCTTCACACAGCAGGGGAAGAGCCAGCTGCCCTGCCTGACCCAGCCCACCTCCCTGCCCTCTGCCTTCCCTTCCCGGCTCCCTGCTGGGCGAAGCAGCGGGCCGAGGACAGTAGTGCAGCACAGTCTGCCGAGGCCCTGCCTTCCTGGACTAGGGGATGTGTTTCCTGGTGCCCAGCCCGACCCCCAACTGCAGGCTCACCCCACATAGTGGCAGCCAGCCTTGTGGCTGAAGCCTGAGGGATGAGACAGCGTGTGCTCGTCCGCTCCTGAGACTGAGCATGGGAACGCTGGCTCCACTGGAAACGTTCTGGGCCCAGCCATACGCACGTCTCACACTCACAGCCACCGCGCCTGTGGCGCTAGGTCCGTGTCCCCTCCTCTGACCTGCACACCCCTGATGGCTGGTTCCTGCTTCCTCATCAGGGGACATCTTCACCTATTCCCTTTCCCCGGGGACGGTAACTGAAGAATTTCTTCTTGAAAAATCCACTTTGTAGTATTTCTGAGGCACTTCTATGACTTCCCCATGGGCAGTGACTCAGGTTTGGAGTATGATGAGAGAAATATAGGTGCTCTGGCTGTGCTCTTGGAGGGGACCCGGGACTGGCCTTCTTGTGTTTTACGGGGTGGGATGTTGGAGCTGTCATCCTTGGGCCCTCACTGCCTCAGAGAGGCACACTGGGGTGGGAGGCCTGGATGTATGTTCAAAAATCGGGCCACTCTCTCACTGTGCAGTCTAAACTGGGTCGAGGTGTGGCCCCTCTTCCGTGTGAGTGACACCCAGAGCCCTCAGCCACCTGCAGCAGCTCCCTAAGGAGCCGGAGGCACCTCACTTGCTCTTGAGGATGGAGACGTTTCTCAGGACTGAGGTGTCTCTTGCAGGAGGGGTTTGCAGGGAGAATCTGGAGCAGAGAGCTATGGGGAAGGGATTGGGTTGAGCTGGAGAGTAGTCTGCTCCTGGCCCGCCCAGCTGGCACTGGCCGGGAGCTACTCTGTGCGGACACAGCCAGGATCACACGTCAGAACACTGGCCACACGTGGTAGACGCCAACTTCGTTGTTTGCTGCATGTACTTTACGTGCACTGATGCTGAGTTCAGTGCCGCTTCATTCAGCACCAGCTCACACCCCCTTTATGGGTGAGAGTGTCTAGGCACAGGTTGGTCAAAGGACTAACAAGAAGACGGCGCTGGGAAGCAGTCAAGCTAGGATTTGAACACTGACTCCTCCAGATCCTATGCTCTCAACCACTATGCTTCAATTATGATACACTTCATATGCTTATATTAGCAAGTTAGCTCTCTGTTTCTGTGTAATGAATGAACTTAGTGGCTTAAAGTAACAAACACTTCTTTCTTATTGTTTTGGGAGTTAGGAATCTGGGAGCAGCTTAGCTGGATGGTGGCTTGAGATCTCTCGTGAAGTTGTCGTCAGGGCGTTGGCCAGGGCTGCAGCCATGTGAAGGCTCGCCTGGGGCTGGAGGACCTGCTCTCCCACTCCCGTGGCTGGCAGACCAGTGCTGGTTGTTGGAAGGAGAACTCAGTTCCTCAGTGTGGGCCTCTCCACAGGCTGCTTGAGCGGCTTCACAAGATGGTGACTGGTTTCCCCAGAGCAACTGATCCGAGACCAAGACAGAAGCTGAGCTTCAAAAGTCACACAGATTTGCCCAGCTGGTGTGGCTCAGTGGTTGAACATCAACCCATGCACCAAGAGGTTACAGGTTCAATTCCCAATCAGGGCACATGTCCAGGTTTTGGGCTTGACTCCCAGTAGGGGGCGCCCGGGAGGCAACCGATCAATGTTTCTCTCTCATTGATGTTTCTATCTATCTCTCCCTCTCATTTCCTTGCTCTCTAAAAATCATAAACATTTTAAGAAGTCACACAGATTAGCTGTTGGTCACATAGATTAGCTGCAATTCAATGTGGAAAGATAAAAGGTCTGAGCCAGTGGGAGATCACATCCACAACACAAGGCCAATGTAGAGCAAAAGGCTTTATTGCATGCGCCTGGGTGCATGTGAGCTGAGCCGGGTTCAGCCTCAAATAACAGTTGGGGTGTAGGTTATATATTCTACTTTTAGCTTCCGGCAGTTCCTGCTGACGGACGTACTCTGCCAGGCCCACTGTTCACGTTGCAGTTGGACTGGTCTGTTATCTTGTCCGGCATCTGCTGGGTGATTCATTGCCTTGTGGATAATCCAGATAATTCTTATTCATACTCAACAGAAGGCTGAGCAAAGGTCATGCAAGCAACACAATTTTTCAGTTTCCATCTTTTGTGAGCTTTTACCTTTGCCCTTTAAAACGTTACTAACCCTTTTAAAAGAGACCTCACATAAGTGGTGAGAAGCATTGGGAACCATCTTGGGGACTGGCTACAGCAATGCTCTAAGATATAGCACCAAATTTTGGTGATTCACAGAGAGAGCTCATTCACCAGGGCAGGCCCTGGAGTTGGGATGGGGAGTCAGGGAGAGGCAGCAACAACACAATTTCTGGGAGGGCTGTTTCCCAGCACCCAGCATTATGCCTGGTCCATAGTAGGTATTCAGGCATTAACTGTTGGATGAATGCATGAGACATCAATAACGGCAGAAAAGGGGGCACATTCCAGTTCTCTGGAACCTAAAATTTGGGAAAGAGTGGGGGAAGGAGGCTGGGAGGACAGTGAGGCCGCCTTGGTCACTGTGGAGGGCCTGGACAGAAGGGACGAGGCCAGCACGCTGGAGGGAGAAGGTGGCGCTCCCTCAGCTGAGTCCCTGTTGCAGAGAGGCTGCTGAATGAAGTGACAGGCAGGAGCAGAGCTGGAGCCCAGCTGTGGGGCCAGGAGCCCTGGCTGCAGCAGAGCCATGCCAGGCTGGGGCAGTGAGCGACTTCCCTCTGTCCCCACCCCAAGTGGATCCGTCCCTCCCTCAAGGCTGGCTCTCCTGAGCCGCCTCCCCGGGCACTGCTTTTGTCACTTAGGAAATCTCTGTCTGTAAGAAAATCGAATCCATATGGTTTGGGAATTCTGTTCTTTTAAATATTTTACTTTGTACCATCTTCAAAAGTGAGGTGTCTTTGAAGTCCTTTAAATTCTCCCGTCTCTTTAGGGGAAGAGGATGTTCGCTCTCTGCATGTTCACACTGACCTGGGTCAGAGAGCAGTGGTGTGCAAGGGCAGGCCGAGGGTTTCGTCAGACCCTACGTTTTCTCTCGAGGTTCGGGTCTTAAGTCTTCCCTTTCTTTCTTTCTTTTTTTGAAGTTAATTTAGTTTTGTTACAAATGTTTCTCCTTTTTTTCCCCAGACACCCTCCCCCCAACTCTGCCTCCCCCCCCCCCCCGCCCCCAGCATTGTTGTCTGTGTCCATTGGTTATGTTTACATGCATATAAGTTCTTTGGTATATCTCATCCATCCCCCCCACCCCCTACCCCTCCTCTGAGGTCTGTCAGTCTGAACTGTATTCCTTTCTATGTGTCTGGGTCTATTTTGTTCATCAGCTTATTTTGTTCATTATATTTCACAAATAAATGAGATTATGTGGTATTTGTCTTTCTCTGATTGACTTATTTCACTTAGCATAATGCTCTCCAGGTCCCTCCACCTCTCAAAGGATAAGCGATCTCTCTTTCTTACAGCTGCATAGTATTCCATTGTGTACATGTACCACAGCTTTTTTATCCACTGATCTGTTGATGGGTACTTGGGCTGTTTGCAGATCTTAGTAATTGTAAATAGCGCTGCTATGAACATAGGGGTACATATATTTTTCTGATTGGTCTTTCAGGCTTCTTAGGATATGTTGCTAGAAGCAGGATCACTGGGTCAAATGGCAGTTCAATTTTTAATTTTTTGAGGTAACACCATATTGTTTTCCATAGTGCCTGCACCAGTCTGCATTCCTACCAGCAGTGTACTAGAGTCCCCTTTTCTCCACACCCTCGCCAACACTTGTTTGATGATTTGTTGATGGCAGCCATTCTGGCAGGTGTGAGGTGATACCTCATAGATATTTTAATGTGCATCTCTCTGATGATTAGTGACATTGAGCATTTCTTTATATGTCTCTTGGCCATTTGTATGTCCTGTTTGGAGAGGTGTCTATTTAGGTCCTCTGCCAATTTTTTAATTGGGTTCTTTGTCTTCCTTATGTTGAGTTGTATGAGCACTCTGTATATTTTGGAAATTTAGCCCCTTATCTGATGTATCGTTTGGCAATTATGCTCTCCCATACAGTGGGTTCTCTTTCCAT